CACTGGTCTCCACTTGGACATTGGGTCGTTGACACAACTCTTTGAGATGACGTGTTGTTTACAAAGCAGGATTTTTTGGTGGGGTCTTTGAGCTATAATGTTCAATTCAGCTGCTTGTCTTGAAGCTATTGTAGCTGCTTCCTATTATAATGTTAACCCTGAAACACTTTTTCTGAACATCTTTAGAAATAAAGTGACAAATTATGTAATCTCTGCACAATAATAATAAATAAAAGTGTTAAGACTTTGTCGTGTAGAGTGAAATACCTCCATAATGCAGTGGCCAACTTTTCAGACGTCCTGACAGAGTCCATCAACCTTGAAAGCCTCTCCAGCCACAGAAAACTGGTTTGATTGGTGTCTGTGTTATCCATTATTCTGTTCAGTAGACAAACCTCAGAACACAGTCACAGTATTTCTGGAAAGCTGTATTTTTAAGTAGAAATTACTACTCAAAGTCCAGTGATTCTTTTTAGTCGTTCTAAACCTTGAGAGTTACAGCAAATTTCAGGACAATTCTACTCTTCCAGGGTTTGAACAACTTATTTTATACAGTTTGCTGTTGTACGTCTTTCATACATAACTAAAAAGAAACAAAAGTATGAAGTGATTTGCTGCTACCTTGCCTGTAATATGAACATTACCTTTCTGACTAACACTAACCATTACATATGTAGTTAGTCTTAAGGTACTGGGTGCATTGTGATTAGAGCAATGGAGTTCTATGAAGTATCTTTACCTGTCAGAAATTGCACTGCCAGTGATACTTAGAAAGTTTTACGTTCATGCTTTGCTTCAAAGCCTAGTATTAGAAATTAATTAACTAATTTAAAGAAAATTAAAATAGTTGCCATCGCAAAGAGAAAAAAAGATCTTTTACTTACGGTATTGCACAGGCTTAGTTTTGAATTTTCTCTCCCATATTTCTGCACTTAGGTATTTCCACAGGTGGACGAGTAAACCCCCGAGAAGGAATTGTGCTTCACTCTACAAAACTCATTCAAGAGTGGAGCTCTGTGGATCTCAGAACTCCAATATCTGATGCTCTGCATCTGCCAGTCTGGGTGGACAATGATGGGAATTGTGCTGCTCTAGCAGAGAGGAAATTCGGCCATGGAAAAGGAATAGAAAATTTTGTAACACTCATTACTGGTACAGGTGGGTATGTTATATTCAGTGAAACCCAAAATCAACATAACAGCGACATCACTCAGACACTCAGCTCATCTTAAAGCATAACACCACCACTGTGCCTGGAAAAACTTAATATATTAGGTTCTTTAACCAGAAATTCTTTTTCCAGTATATCTATTAGTTTCTTTGAGGTTACTGCTTAATTTATTCAGGCAAATGAAATGTTTAGCATAGTATAAGTTTCCTGATAAAAGAAGTTCGGCTGATACAGTTACGCAGGCAAACCGTTTTTTCAAAATAAGGAATATCTAAGCAATTTTAGCTGGAATAATTTTGCTTTTTTTTTAGCTTTATAGCTTAATTCTTTTCTAGCTGCAGAAATACAAGTCAGATCAGGATATGTATGAGAAGATAAGCCACTGAACATGAGACATGATGCTTATTGTATCTCGAATGCAAATGTGAGGTAACTTTTCTCATTTGTTAGGTACACAATCCTTTAGAATGGTGGCATAATAACTAGCTGATGAATCCCCACCCAGGGTTTTGGAAGGAGCAGCAAAGGATCACAGATTTAAATGTCCTGGCTCTTTAGCACACAGGTTCAGCTGTCCAAATACAGCATCAAAACATCTCCTCTGAAATGCAAAATTTTAAAGCCATTGAAAGGCTAGTTTTGTGCATAAAGAGCATGGCTTACAAGCTTAAAAGATCTGTCATAGTAGTTAGTACCATCCATACGCTTTTTAAGAATTGAGAAGCATTATATACCACTTTGATACATACAGGAATAGGAGGGAGCTATGGTCTGGCTTCTTAAGTGTGTCAAACAGAGAAGAAGTCTTCAGTAACCAGTAATTTTTGGTTTCCAGTATCGGAGACCACTGATGCATGTATTTTATCTTGTCTGGATTAGAATAAGCAAATGTAAATGTCTTGCCGAACTGGGGCCTTTAAAACTGTGGGGTTGGTTTGTTTTTTAATTCTACAAGTTTTCATATCTTTGCAGGAATTGGAGGTGGAATCGTTCATCAACACGAATTGATCCATGGCAGTTCTTTCTGTGCTGCTGAGCTTGGGCATATCGTTGTATCTTTAGATGGACCAGAGTGCCTGTGTGGTAGCCAAGGATGTATAGAAGCATATGCTTCTGGAATAGCATTGCAGAGAGAAGCTAAGAAACTGCATGATGGTATCTATGTACTCTGTTTTTGAAAACATGATTACTAAATTGTAGTATAGCAAGAAATTTGAAGAGATGATACTAAGAAAAACAGACCTGCCCTCTCTTTATAGGAGAAGATGAGAATAGATGTACAGGTAACCAGATAGGATTCCTCTGTATGGCCAATCCAGGAGCTACCACAGCCTGTGTAGTGCAATACAACTCCTTTTCAGTGATGGCAACATGCAGGCAAGCCACATTTGGCACCACTGGTCTCAGAATTACCAGAAGCATGTTTTTGAGTTTGAAATTGTTTGATTCCGTGCTTCTACAAGTCATTCCCTGAATAATATGGATATGACTGCTTTTGCTAATCTCAGGGATGGATAGATTGCTCAGGATGCATGCCTCAGTATGCAAGTAAGAGATGTAAAGTTCTTAACTGCTTGTTTGTCACTCTCCATTTCTTGACTTACCACATCACCATGTTTTTCTCTTGGCTTTCTCTCCTTTTCAAACAGAGGATCTGCTTTTAGTAGAAGGAATGTCAATGAAGAAGGAGGAGGTTGTTAGTGCTGCACATCTCATTCAAGCAGCTAAACTTGGGAACACAAAGGCAGACAGCATTCTCAGAACAGGTGAGAATATAGCCAAAAGGGTGGAACCCTCCCATGGCTATCTTTTTGGGGATGCAGAAATAGTAATGCACTGTAACACTACAAACACAAGTCTACACACTGAGGATGTCTCTATATAAAAATTACTAATGGTAGTGAAATGTTAAATATAAATGTTGGAGGACATGTGAGGAGCAGAAATGTGTATTAAGTCTCTGCTCCAATAAATGAGAATGTAAAAAGCTTCTACAACGTTTAAAAAAAAATGAGGTCTCAACATTCTCATATTGGAAAATCTGGGGGCATTTCATTGTAGGCAAGTGAATGGCTAGTCGGAGCAAGCAGAGGCAATTTACATGGGATATTTCAGTTTTACTAGCTTTAAGCACAGTCTTCTTCCTCACACATAGCTGATAGCACAAAGTAGGGTGATGCTTTCCTATTTTCTCTTAGTTCACAAGCGTGGTAACGGACTGCTTTGTCTTTCACGTTCCTATCGTTGGATAATGCATTGTTGTGCAACCAAATGGCCTTTTTTCCTTTTACTTCTGGAATATTAATAGCAAACTCACATTGTCTGATACTATGAACTCAAAACTGTCTGCCATGTAGAATAGAACACTTTCCTGACAGATGCCTGGACTGCTTTCAGTATTTTACTTAATTTCTTTTTACTTTATTTTTTCAGCTGGGACAGCATTAGGCCTTGGAGTTGTGAACATCCTGCACACCATGAACCCCTCTCTTGTGATCCTTTCCGGAGTTCTAGCTAGCCACTATGTTAATGCTGTCAAAGACGTGATAAATCGACAGGCTCTGTCCTCTGTTAAAACTGTGGATGTGGTGGTCTCAAATCTAGCAGATCCTGCTCTGCTTGGGGCTGCTAGCCTGGTACTGGATTATTCTACACGTAGAATATACTAGGTACCTGGAAGAATTCTAGAAATGGACTATTCAAATTCCTAATCAGTGGAGGGGATACTTTGCCCAAAATTTTTCTTTGAGTGCAGCTACTGATTCAGAGTAGTGTTCTGAATAGTTACTGACTACTTCAGCATTTCCTAATAGAGGTGTTATCTTTTTGTATTTTTCCTAAATTTCATCTGACTTCATAGAAACTAATGTGCAATTCTGTTATTTTAATCACCTTGGTTGGTAAGCCTATATGTTGCTTTAACTGTAGCTGAATTATTTATGAGCATATCCTGACGTATGGTGGGGAATAAGTGTATGATGTGTCAAATCATAGCTAACACTTGGGGATCCATATCTCATTTCCCACCTATGTGAAATGAGAAGTCTGCAATGTGACCAGCTTCCCACTTTCCAGGCTTCCACCCACAGAGCAAACGTGATGTAATCACCAGTAGCAGGTAGTAAATGGGTGGAAACAAGGGAAGTTGCCTCTACCATCAAAAACGCTGCATCTAGGAATTGTGGTCCATGAAGGACTTGGTGGAGGCAGTTATTTATTACGTCATCTTTGGAGGGCAGTCTCATTTTAGAAGCTTTGCATATGAAGGAAGAGGACCATGGTCTAGTGAGCCTACAGCCTGCTGAGCAGTCCAGACAAACCAACAGGTGTATCAGTGAGCACCTTTGTCTTCTGGCTAAGGCCAAGAGTAAATTATTTGGATTTTATTGTTTGGGATTTTCTCAAGGGACTTAGTCTGCTACTTTGTCTACGAAATTAGCAGAGGGGACTGTTGATTCTTTGGTGGCCAGTTAGCTGAATTTCAGCTATGTGGTACGTCTGATTATAAGGACTCTGCCTCTCAAGAAAACTCCCACTGCAGCGTGACACAGTGCTTCGCAGCAACAGTTCTGGTGGTTTTGGGTGCAGTGTTGTCCTGCACTCAGCATCAGCTCATAGGATGGAAAGTCAAATCTGAGCCTCATCCTCACCTTCAACATGTTCAGAAATCTGGAAGCAAAATATGTCAAATACCAATGAAGGCTTGCTTAGGGAAACAGTCATTTGTTTAACTAGTCCTTCTTGATATACCTCTCTCTATCCAGCTGCTTTTTAACGTATTTGGAAGATACTGTAGTAATAACTATTTGACACAAGGAGACACTGAAAACCAGACCCATCTGAATGTTGCAGAAAGAAGGTATCTGTGGAAGAGCAGTCACAAGACCATCCTCTGACCTGCATTTCATTTCCTATTTTGACATCTGACTCAGCTATATATATATGTATGTCTCATATTCTCAGAAGCCCAGTAGTTTACTAATACAGGGGAATAAAAGGGGCTGTTCCCACATTTGAACTTTTTCTCTAGCCAGAATGAAACAACCTTCTGCAACCGCTGCCTTCTGCTGTGTAATAATCTTGGACCAAACAGCTGTGAGTAATAGTGAACCACTCTTCCAGCCAATTCTGGGATATAACCTACACAGGTTACCTTCACTTCATCCTCTCTTCCACAAGAAATGCTTACTGGGAACTCTCATCTTCATAGCCAATGTCAGAGACACCACCAGATCTCCTCTGTGATGTCTCCAAGAGTAATAGCACAGCTTCTATTTTATTTTTTTTCCCCTCAGAATTGGCAAATACTGGCTCTTAACCATTTGTAAAGTTGTAGTAAGCTTTATGTCAACAGGGGTTCTTAGTGCATTTTGCTGTGTGTCTTGGCTTCCTTGGTGCTTCCCACTACTTTAGTACCCGAGCGTAACACCATGAGCAGGTCATGGAGAAATGGCTTTTTTCCACGGTAAGAGTTCACAGTACTGAGGTTAGAACAGAGAGGAGCCCTGTTACTTGTTTTTTTTCCATCCTCTGGCATCACAAGGAGTGCCTGACTAAAAGCAGGACCAGGTTTTACTTTCCAGACCTTCTGAAGCTCAGAATTTTTGGTATTTCAGACCCTAGTTGTTCCCTAGAGGCTGAAGGGATGTTGCAGGAGTAGAGAAGACATGAGTCTAAAACACATTTGAGAAGTTTAAACATCTTTAACTAGATGTTTAAAAAATAAAACTAAAAAATAAAACTAGATCTTTAACATCTAGTCCTGTTAAGAAAAT